TGAAAAAACAGATTGACAGAGCCAGACGAGTACCCAGAAGTCACCTCCTACAAGACAGGCCCAACAAAGAAAATAACAGAACACCACTAGCTGTCACCTTCAGCCCCCAACTAAAACCTCTCCAGCGCATCATCAGAGATCTACAACCTATCCTGAAAGATGATCCTTTACTCTCACAGATCTTGGGAGACAGACCTGTCCTCGCTTACAGACAACCCCCCAACCTAAAGCAAATACTCACCAGCAACCACACATCACTGAACAAAAACACTGACCCAGGAACCTATCCTTGTAACAAAGCCCGATGCCAACTCTGTCCACATATCTATTCAAGTGACACCATCATAGGGCCTAATCACATCAGCCATACCATCAGGGGCTCGTTCACCTGCACATCTACCAATGTGATATATGCCATCATGTGCCAGCAATGCCCCTCTGCCATGCACATTGGCCAAACCGGACAGTCTCTACGCAAAAGAATTAATGGACACAAATCTGACATCAGGAATCATAATACTCAAAAACCAGTGGGAGAACACTTTAACCTGTCTGGCCATTCTATGACAGACCTGCGGGTGGCTATCTTAAAACAGAAAAACTTCAAAAACAGACTCCAACGAGAGACTGCTGAGCTGGAATTGATATGCAAACTAGACACAATCAACTCAGGGTTAAATAGGGATTGGGAATGGCTGAGCCATTACAAACATTGAATCTATCTCCCCTTGTAAGTATTCTCACACTTGCTTCTTATCAAACTGTCTGTACTTGGCTATCTTGATTATCACTTCAAAAGTTTTTTTTCTCTTACTTAATTGGCCTCTTAGAGTTGGTAAGACAACTCCCACCTATTCATGCTCTCTGTATGTGTGTATATATATCTCCTCTATATATGTTTCACTCTATATGCATCCGAAGAAGTGGGTTGTAGCCCACGAAAGCTTATGCTCTAATAAATTTGTTAGTCTCTAAGGTGCCACAAGTACTCAATTTCACCTTGTTCCTTCTGCATCCATGTGAATTGGAATGAAAGCAGTTTTCCATGTTGAGGCAAAATCTGGTTCTCCCCTTGGTGTATGCACATTCCAATCTTATCTCTACTAGCTGGAATTCCCCAGTGGAAGCTTAGCACAAATTAACTTAAACTTCCAGGAAGTGTGTTAAGGTAGTGCTTGTGTGAGGGATAACACTGATGGCTCTGAGTCTATCTGCAAGGTGACTGTAGTAGCTTCCTTCCCAACGACTTGGGAAGATTATCTTTAGGAGGTGAGAGTATTTGTCTCCATAGTCTCAGGGCTGGTTTACACTGAAAAGTTAGGTCGACTGATTACACTGCTCAGGAGTGTGTAAAAAGCCATACCTCTGAGCGACACAGTTAACATGACTTAACTCTTGATGTACACAGCACTAGACTGACAGTTACTCTGTCAACCTAGCTGTCGCCTCTCCACTAGGTGGATTAATTATGGTGATGGGAGAACCCTTCCTGTTGCCATAATGAGTGGGTACACTGAAGCGCTATAGCGGTGCCGCTGCAGTTGTGCCCCTGTAGTGTGTTAAGTGTAGATTAGCCTTCTGTCTTTGGCCCCTCTGTTGCCAAGGGAGTCAGTCAATGCCAATAGTGCTAGAGACATACCTGCTGTGAATTGGACTAAAATTGCAAGTACATAAGAACAGCCAGACTGAGTCAGACCAAAGGTCCATCTAGCCCAGTATCCTGTCTGCCGATAGTGGCCAATGCCAGTGTTTCAGAGGGAAAGAACAATGTGGTAATGATTAAGTGATCCATCCCCTGTTGCCCATTCCCAGCTTCTGGCAAACAGAGGCTAGGGAAACCAAGTAGATCAGGGGTTGGCAACCTTTCAGAAGTGGAGTGCCGAGTCTTCATTTATTCACTCTAATTTAAGGTTTCGCGTGCCAGTAATACATTTTAACATTTTTAGAAGGTCTTTCTATAAGTCTATAATATATAACTAAACTATTGTATGTAAATTACATAAGATTTTTAAAATGTTTAAGAAGCTTCATTTAAAATTAAATTAAAATGCAGAGCCCCCGGACCAGTGGCCAGGACCCTGGCAGTGTGAGTGCCACTGAAAATCAGCTCGCGTGCCGCCTTTGGCACGTGTGCCATAGGTTGCCTACCCCTGAAATAGATGATAGTTTTGGTCACTACCAGCCTGGATAAGATTTTATCCCATTACTAATGCTGAGGTCGCCCAATGCCTGCCTCACGGATCTTAATGAAAATATCATGTTAGCAAAGCTGTTGCTACTCTAAATGATTCCAGGTATTCTCTTAATCTGTCTAGTGCTGTGCATGATCATGTGGATGGCTAGTCTTGCTTCTCAGGTTGAGGGCTGAATGTGTACTGCCCTGGGCACCAGGGAGTGTTCAGCATGCATTTTTCAGGAACACCACCACCTGCACAGGCCTCCTAGCTCAATGAAAGTCACATGATGCAAACTGAGGAAAGGGGGAAGGAACATTTAAAAGAAAAAATTTTCTACTCCAGTGCATCTGCTGAGAATATAACAGTAATGTGCTTAAGGAGCAGCACAAGGAGCCTGCAGATTTGGATTTGATTTAGTATTTTTGCTGCAGATTTTCCTTTTCAGCAAATTGTTCAGTCTCTGTGCCTATTTCTTCATCTGTAAAATGAGGCTGATTATATTTGTCTGCTTGCTTGCTTCACGTGGATTTTAAGGCTAAATTTATGTCTGAAGTGCATTGAAACCCTTGGCTGGAAGATGCTCTAGAAGTACCAAATCTTTCCTTGGGGTCAGTTATCAGCATGAGGAAGGAGAGAGAATACCTGCAGCATCCACCACTTTATGTGAATAAACATTGAGCTTAAAAGGGTAAATGTCTTGCGAAGCTCATTCTTCAAAGGATAATGTATTACGCAAAAAAATCAGGAGCAGAATTCCTGCTCAGTACAGAGTTCCTTCTGCATGTGGTGAATTTTAAAGACTGTGGCTGGAGGAAACTAACTCTTACTGGGGCCGTCCATGATGAACTGTTGTTAGCCATGTCCCTTTGTCATCTTCTAGGTGCTCTGAATGTCAGGACCCGCTCACTAACTGGTACTATGAAAAGGATGGGAAGCTCTATTGTCACAAAGACTACTGGGGGAAATTTGGGGAATCTTGCCATGGCTGCTCTTTGCTGATGACTGGACCTGTGATGGTAAGGACTCTGCTATGCCTCTTTCTGCCCAGGTACCTGGTAATTGCAGCAGACTGGGGGTTTTAGTCTTAGAATTCAACTGTTGATATGAAGTGTTAAAAGTATGCACAATCTGCATCTTTTGGGATGTAGATGACCTTAAATAGGCCAACTTGTGAAGGAGGGGTGTGAGGACCAGGAGCATTTTGGGGAAGATGGCAAGGAGCTGAAATGCATAGAACTGAACAAGATGAGGCAACACACTTCCCATCCTGCCCCCAAGCTGTGCATCAATGAAAGTGATGTTCAGGGAACTGAGACTCTGTCGCCTGATACTCAAGTTCCTCTAGAGCAGTTAGCCTCATATCCAGTGAGGGGCTGCACTTTTCCTTGCCTTACAAAAGGCTGCAATTGTCAATTTGCAGTCTTATGCTATGTCTACACTACAAATTACTTCAGTATAACTTATGTCGCTCAGGGGTGTGAATAATCCATTCCCCGAGCGACGTAAGTTATAACGACCTAACACCAGTGTGGACAGCGCTGTCGGCAGGAGAGCTTCTCCTGTCGACATAGACACTGCCGCTCATGGAGGCAGGAGTTATTAAGCCAATGGAAGAACTCTCTCCCATCAGCTGAGAGCAGCAGTCTCACCTAAGGGCCCGGGGCCCTCTGGGGAGCTGTGAGCTGATTTCAGGGAAGCCAAGCAGGGTCAGTGTTAAACTCTCTGGGGCCCAGAGCAGAAAGCTGAAGCCCCATCGTGCGGGGCTGAAGCCCAGGACCCTGAATCCCACCACCCACGGCTCAAGCCGAAGCCTGAGCAATTTAGCTTGGTGGGGCCCTGGGCAATTGCCCTGCTTGCTACCCCCTAATGCTGGCCCTGTTTTTATATGCAGAAAAACAGTTGTTGTGGCAGTGGTGGGCCATGGAGTTTTTATGGCATGTTGCGGGGGGGGGGCTCGGCAAGAAAAAAGGTTGAGAACCCCTGCCTTATAGCATCTTCACCAGAAGTGCCACAGTGCTGTAGTGTAGATGTAGGCTTAGACTGAAGCATTTCTGAAGCTACATGATAAAATAGGACCATGTCTAAAAATGGCTTTCCAAGCCCTCTAGTGGCTGGCTGCAGAGCCACAGGCCCTCAAGCATTTCTAAATGATTGAGCACCTCTCGCATGCTCGAGTGTAACAAAATATTGTCCTGCCCCAAATATCCCACCAAAAAGGAAATCCTAACCCTCTTAAATCAATCTTTGCCAAGAATGAAAAGTATCCAATATTTAGGTAGGCTAAATAAAAGCAGTATATTGTGTACCAGCTAGCTAACGCTACTCTGGAGGCAGTACCGACATCTGCTAGTGAAAATAGTGCAGATGAATTCTCACTATTAATGGAATGTTTTCCAAAATTCCATCAGTAGGGAAGGGTCTCATGTAAGAACTATTGCAAACTATGGAATATGAACAAGCCAATTTTTTTTACTCATCTCTGCTTTCTGGTAGCTGGTGGAAGTAGCTGAATCTTGTGCATTAATACTAGTCTTGCAAAATCATCTCTCAGATTTATCAATTAAGGCTTAACATCTACTCTCACCTGTATCATAACTAGTGGGAAGTCTAATATTCGCTCAAATACTACTTTGCTCCAGGCTAATAAAAATTTAGCAAGACTACCAAATATATGGGGAGGAGGGGTACCTGGGCCACATTCAGTGTCTTATGTTGATGCCCTTGTTTCAGAACAGTGTATTGTAACCAAGGCACTGAGGGAGGGGGTTTAGGAAAGGCAGGATGGATTTGCATTGCTCTATCCGGTATTTAACGTTGCTTAGTCTTGGAGTCCATGTAGACTTACTGTTAGTAGGTGCAGTTATTGCTTCCCCAAGCCCCTTTTTAACAGTGTTCCCTCCGTGATCAGAACTTCCTCTGCCTGTCTGTGTAGGTGGCTGGAGAATACAAGTACCATCCTGAATGCTTTGCTTGTATGAGTTGCAAAGTAATCATTGAAGATGGAGACACGTATGCGCTAGTACAACACTCCACACTCTACTGGTAAGATGGGGCACAACACTCCATTGCTGTCCTGCTAAAATGATCCTGTGGTACTGTGCGCTCCATTGCCTGCTGTACGTGCAAATCACTTCCCCATTCTGTCTAGTGGGTCTGTGTGGTTTAAACACAAATGGATGTTGAAAAATTGGAGAGGGTTCAGAGAAGAGCCATGAGAATGATTAAAGGATCATAAAACATGCCTTATAGTGATGGACTCAAGGATCTAAATCTCTTTATCTTAATAGAGAAAAGGTTAAGGAGTGACTTGATTAGTCTATAAGTATCTGCATGAGGATCACATTGAATAATGGACTGTTCAATCTAACAGAGAAAGGTACAATGTGATCCAATGGCTGGAAGCTGAAGCTAGACAAATTCAGACTGGAAATAAGGTGTAAATAGTGAGAGTAATTAACCATTGGAACAATTTACCAACAATCGTGGTGGATTCTTCATTCCTGACTATTTTTAAATCGAGATAAAGTTTAGAAAAACATCCTATGTGTTCTAGGAATTATTTTGGGGAAGTTCTATCATCTTGGTTTTACAGGGGATCAGATTAGATGAACACAGTGGTCACTTCTGGCCATGGAATCTATGAATCTGTAAACACCAGAATGGAATGATCAAGTGCATTTCTAGGGGTCAGGGAGCACTGCTTGAAGCCTTGATAGCTGATGATGATAGCATTGTTCCAACCTTTTAGGACAACAGGATCCGGCTACATAGGTTTGCAAGAAGGGATGGGAAATGGCCAGTGACTCTCTTCTGTTCTTTCTGTAGTGGAAAATGCCATAACCAGATTGTGCTGACGCCAATGATAGAAACTCTCTCCACGGAATCTCTGCGTGAACAGCTACCATACACACTGACCCTCATCTCTATGCCTGCAGCCACTGATGGCAAGAGAGGGATCTCTGTGGCTGTCGAAGGTGGCTGCTCCAGCTACGCCACCAGTGTCCAGGTGAAAGAGTGAGTATGAAGAGGCCGTAATAGCTGCATTAGCTGTTCACAATTCAGTAATTGTGCAGAGGTATCTGGGCAAAGGAAAGTGGGAGCTTCTGACTAACTTTTATTTCTATGAGATTCTCTCCAGTTGCTGAAATGGAATTTCTCATTCAGTGACCACATGTGGTAGGAATGAGATGCAAATGAAACCACGAGTGTTTCTTGGCTGGGCAGTCTTTTGTTCTCCTACATTGTTATGGCTAACTTAAACTGAGATTCAGGGCAGGGATTCTCCACTGCCCAGAAATCACTTATGGGATTATAGCAGTAACAAATAAAGAAACTAGTTACCTTTCCCTATGGCTTGGCTACTGTTTGTGTCCTTTTCCTGTGGGTATATGAGAAGGTCCTTTATTCGCCAAGCTTTCTGAGGTCTTGGCACCTCAGAGAATGCTTGCCATCACAGCTTAGTGTTATCTCACATTAGCAGACTGAGAACACTTCACTTATTTCTGGATCCTAAAAGTGAAGAACACTTGCTGGGAAGTAGCGATCCATTGAACTTCTGATAATCTGTGTTTAGGCGGATTCTCCAGCATGACTCTTTCCTTTCATTTAGAGTCAACAGAAGACATATTAGCCCAGATGTCCAAAATGCCATCCACTCTGGAGACCGGATCCTGGAAATCAATGGAGTCCCTATTCGCACATTACAAGTGGAGGAAGTAGGTATAGTTTTATCTTGAGTAATCCTGCAGTCTATACTCCAGACTGATTTCCCCCCTTTCTCCCCCCCCCATGTCCCTTCTACCTTGGGACTTTTTTACAATCTTCTCCCATAGCAGTGCCTATTGCGTGGGGCTGTAATGCTGTCATTGATTTGTACTACAGAACAATCCACTGGCTGTGAATGCAAGAATAAGCTTTTGCTGCCTCTTAGTTTGGAGTCAGCATCTAAGTTCCATTGGGGAGGGGAAGGTGGCAGCCGGGAGAGGGCAAATTAGGAAGCAGTTTAGAATAGGGGAGGTGTACATCAACAATTGGTAGGTGGTTAAGGAAGCCTGGAGTGCAGGTTGTCTCAAAGGGAAGGAGTTGGACCAAGTGACTGAGTTGAAGGCAGAGTACATGTATCATCAGGCAGACCTGTTTTGAGAGAGGACAGCTGCCAGGCATGGTCAAGTGAGACTGTATCTAGAAGCTGTGTACGGTGTAGCAAGCGACAGATTTGTCTGCATTTACTATATTAAATGCTTTATACAGTTAATCACATTCAAGGTAACTCGGTGCACAATATTAGGCTACCCTTTCGGTCGCTAGACAAACACTTTTTGTCTGCTGTTGGTGTTAGCTAATATCTTGAGCCTTCTCTTCTAAAGCAGAATAATTAGATCTGGGTTTAGACAACTGGGTAGCTTTACATTTCCCTTATGAAAGTGTATTGATCAGCGTTAGGCATGATCTACATACACTGAAGAAAGCAAGTCCAAGAATAATGTGGCCTCATTCCAGAAAAATAGTGATCTGGGTCTCTTGTTGCTGATCAGAGCAGAAGAGTATCTAGCTAGAATGAAGAGCTACATGTTACTAGATTGTGAGTGGTGTGGTGGATAGTTAGATTGTGTGCAGCTAAACCACAGCCACAGTGACCCGATTGAGGCACTGTAGATTCTAGCCTGAAGGACATTCAGGTGGCTTCATGTTTTTACAATGGTCCCCTTCAAAGGCTCTTACCCTGCCCTTGGATTTGTGTTCAGGTGGAGGACCTGATTCGCAGGACAAGCCAGACACTTCAGCTGCTCATAGAACATGACCCTGTCTCTCAGCGACTGGACAGACTGCGTCTGGACTCCAGGCTCCCCACCCATGTAAACACCACCACCACCTCACGCTCCATTTCCTCATTGGACATTAAGGGGAATCTGGAAGGAACACTGAACCGGCGCTCCCTCAGGTACCAAACCCTAGGAAAACTGCACTGCGGCTAGTGCTTCTACAGCAGCAGCTGCAAATCTTCTGAGAAACTACTGTTTTTTCCTAGACTATGAGAATACCACCACGGCCTGTCACCTCTCATCCAGCTGTGCGTGTTTTAGCGTGCCCTAGAGCCTCGGCTGTACAATGCACAGTCTTGCAATTGCAAATGACTGAGTCATGGCCAAGCCAAGCCTGGAATGAAGCATTGCCCAGGAGATGAAGTTGCAGATCCCTTCAGTCATTCTCTATGGACTCCCCTTCGGGCTGGCTTGTTTAATAGTGTTTAGACTGATAAATAAAGACTGAATTGTGGGCTCTAAATCTGCTAACCACTTGAAATAAATTGAAAAGTCAAAGATTTCTGCCAGACTCAGATGGCTGTAGTGAGAGCTTACCCCTCAGGGACTGACCCCTGCTAAGTGAGGCTTGGGTCTTCAGTGTTAGAAAACCTGCCCTCCCCATACTGGGGTCCTCTGTGCCCCACCAACTTCCTTCATCTTACAAAAATTGCAGATCATCCAGTATCACTTCCCTGACACCTGAATCCGTTGCTCAGAATGATCAGGAGTTCCTTGTAAGGTGGAAGTCGGAATCCAAATGGATAGAGATGTGCTGCTGTGGAGGCTGGCCAGCATTGACATTGCTGTTGGCTCACTCAGGAATTTAACACCGGAAGTGACTCTGCAGCATTGGGTACATGCTGCAGCACCTTCCACATCTGCAGAATTGTGGGAAGCTAGTGAGCTAGATGGTTACTAGCATGCACTCATTTAGGGTAATAGACCTTCCTTGCAGCTGACCTAATCTTCCAGTCACTTTCACTCTCCAGGCGAAGTAACAGTATTTCCAAGTCTCCTGGACCCAGCTCCCCAAAGGAACCGCTCATTCTGAGCCGTGACATCAGTCGCTCTGAATCTCTGCGCTCCTCCTCCAGCTATTCCCAGCAGATCTTCCGGCCCTGTGATCTGACACATGGTGAAGTACTCGGGAAAGGATTCTTTGGACAAGCTATCAAGGTGAGTGGGCAAAACCATGACCCATGAACTTACTGCCAAATTCCCAAGTTACAGGATATACCTTCTACAGAAACTTCCAAACATCACAACAAATCAAGTGACTTTTATTTCCTTCCCAGTAGCGTGCTGGGCCTGGGAGCTTGACTGTCTGTTTTATCATATTCACAGTTCTCTCTTCTCTTGTACTCACTCAGCTTGAGTGTAGCTGGTATCCTGGAGAGATGGCTTACATTCTGCTGAAGAGTTTCTTTCCTGTTTAAATTGCAGCCTGTCTAACAAGCATCTTGTGTGCTGAGGTGTTTGTATATAACCAGAGCTGCAGAGTGAATGGGTCACACCTCTGTCAAGGGGACAGGGGGAGGACTCACTGTTACATGAAATGTCTTCCTGAAGGTGCCCACTCAATCTCCCAATTCAGTATTGTGAAGTTCCCTCAGTGCAAGAGTCTGTGCTAGACAGACTGGGACTTATAAGGGATCCAGTGACAGTTACTGTGGTAAACTGTTTAACAGTCAAACTCTACTCCCCCGAGTATTGACCACATCTGTGCAGAGGTCCCTTTGAGAACAAAAAGCTCCTGCAATAGTAACTCTACTTTTCCCTGTATTAACTGTCTGATCTTAACCATAGAGTGTGGACCCTTCAGGTGCTCCCTCCCTGGCATTCTGCATCAACAGATTTCCTCCCGACCCCCATAATTGGAGTTTCTGCAGTCTGCTCAGATGTCTGGTATTACTATAGCTGACCCTTGAGTCAGTTTCCTGAACACTATCTACCTTCCAAGGACCAGTGTGAGCTCTTCAGTACCCTGATCTCCATCCCACTATGCTGTGGGAATCAGTTTCTCCTTAACCACTGTTGTATCAATCCTCCTCCTGTGCTTCCTTGGGAATATGACAGTGTGCTCTGGGATTCATAGCGCTAAGTGTTCAATCTTTGATATGGTACTATACTAATTGGCATATTTCTTTTCTCTGCTCATAGACAAATAGCATGTCCAGGTAAGAAGAACCTTTTCCTCTGCCGCATGTCTTGCCATCTGCATCCCCGTGGGGTTAACAGCACAGAGGCATTTCCTCTCGTGTTGGTGCATGCACTGGGAGATAAAATCTCCTCAGTGAGTTCCATAACGGCATTGTTCTTAAGTTTGTTTGATCTACCAGCCTAAAGAGTCCATTTATTTGTCTTCATTACTTCCCTTCACTTCCCTTGCCTTTGTCACTGTGCTTTAGACACTTACACCTCTTTGCGAGAGGTGATGGCATACTGCTCCTCAGCACTCGGCTAATGTTTGGATAGGAGCAAGAGAAGGGATGCTGTATTGCTGCCTGGTCCTGTTATCCATGCCAGGTTTTCACACTCCACCTAGATCAGAGTAGCGCTGAATTCTACTGCTCACCTTTAGTGTGCACTGGTGTCAAGGCTGAATCCGGTCTTTCCAGTAGAGCGGTTTCCCAGATTCTCCGAGCTTGTGGTCCCTTTCCAGCCTAATTTTCTTTACAACACTTGTCCCCCAAGACCTTGAACTCTAAACATGAGCAGGTGACACTTTGTAGCCACAACATACCAGAAATTATTTAGTAAGCTTCACAAACAGAGGTGCAAAAAGGACCCCATCATTGTGAGACTGAGCCTGTTTTACTGATAGTTACTTTTGATCAGCAGTCAGTTGTTATGCTTTCTTTATAATTGTAATTTAAGTGAAGCTGGACTCTACATTTCATCCTCTTATCTATGAGAACTTCCATGGCTTCTGCAACTACAGCAGAATTACTCCTTCACAAACCCCCCAAATCTGAGCTCCTGGCTAATGTAAGTTTCAGGGTCTCCCAAAAAAGGCTTGTCTTTTAATAGCCAAGTCCGCACTGCTGAGTCTGTTTTTTGCATGATGGGACTTGGTTGATCCACTGCTTTTCTCTTTGGGTCACCAGGAGAATAGTCCTGCAGATGGATCTCCTGTTCCTCAATGCTGAGTTGAGGGCCTGAGGGTTTCTGCTGGGCTCTTCAGTTCCCACAAAGTGTGAAACAGGAAAGCTCTTCCAGTTTCTTCTCTGAGATTAAGACCAGTTTCCAAATGTTCTGTTGAAAGCTTCTACCCTGTTCTCTATGGACTGAACCTTTATCTTCTCTCTTTTGAGAGAAGAGGAGATCAGCTTGTTTAGGTGCCCAGAAATTTAAGCAAGGTAGACTCTCCCACCCAAGCTGAATTACTGAAGGAGTCAGGAGGAGAAGTTCTTCCAGAAAACCTGCAGTCATGCTCTAAATCCAGAGTCAGGCTGATTTCAGTGTGAAAGGAGTTGCTGATTAAAAGGCACCCAGATCCTCGCAGAGCAATGCAAAAAAAGTCAAGAATCATTGGATAAGACTTCAACAGCTTTCATGAACGACCTGGCACCGTTTTCAGGCATTTCAGAGCATGGTGGTGTGTGTGACACAGTGAAGCCATGAGGCTTTAGGTACTGTCTCGCATGTCGTCACCTTGGTGCCACCCTTGGAGATTGCAGTACACTTTTCACACCGAATGTGGAACCTTGACTGCTAGCTGTCACAACTAAACAGTCCCCAGTTGTTCATCTCCACCCAGCATTGCAAAGGAACAAGTTTTCAATAAGCCCATCAGAAACCTAGCTCTTGCTGAAAGCTACATGACAGCAGGGATATCTGTTGACTTGGTGTGAATTGCTTAGTTGTTCTTCTTAACCCATGAAAAAGGGAACCATCCTCAGTAATTTCACTAATACAGGCTGAAGTGGTTGGTTAAGGTCTGTGTGCATGGGGACCTGCTTTTCATGTTTAATTGTGCTTGTATGGTTTAAGGTAATTCCAGGCACACACAGGTGCAGGGTTAATACAGTTAGCAGAGGCTCTAGTAGCCTGCAGCACACACTCAGATCCTGCACTGCTTAAAATTGAACCACTAATGGGGGTTCTTGGGATACAATAATATTGTGGACTCAAAGGCCCACACCACAATGGGCCTTTTGTGAGTTTATTTCAACTTAAGAATCTTATGGGAATTTTTTTTTTGTGGCAGTTTCCTGCAACTCCCTGAACCTGGTCTGTCTGAATTTTCTCTCCTCTCCCTGGTCAGCGGTGGAGGGAGATGTGACCCACAGTTTGGGAAACCCTGCTCTAAAGCATCTATAGGTTTTATAGGGCTTTCTTTCCTACTGTGACAGTGTCTGTGTCCAACAGGTAACGCACAAAGCAACAGGGAAGGTGATGGTGATGAAGGAGCTGATTCGCTGTGATGAGGAAACACAGAAGACTTTCTTGACAGAGGTAGGAGCAAGATCTCAAGTAAGGCCAGGGAGCTAGTTGTGTGGGGGTTAGAGCTCCTCTCTGCCCCTTGGTAGTAATGCATACCAGTGATCTTAGCAGGGAAGCAGCATGTTGGGGGAAGAACGGACCTGGTTGAAAATGTATGTCACAATTAAACATGACTGACTTATTCAGAAAACGAAGATGACTTATTGAAAATTAATGAATAGGAAGTCTAAGAGGCACTCTGAGCCTAAGAGGCTATTTGGTTGAACTGTGCTTAGTGAATATAAGTGTAAAACGTAGGATGCATCCTGTACAGCGAGCTTTCAGTATAAAACATTAATAGGAAACAGCTGACTCCGAGACCAACATCTGGAAGATGTTCCACTTAGTTACAACAGAGAAGGGAATTTTTAAATCAACCTATTGAATGGCTGCCTTCCTCGTTCCCCAAAGTCAGGCTTCTCTGAAAAGCAGCTTCCTAAATACCCGAATGCGTCTCTTCTGGCCCTAAGTATGTCATACAGCACACTAGCTGCAGTGTGGAAGTCTTGTCAACTAAACCATAACCAGCCTAGGGGCTCTCCAGCCTGATCACTATCTTTCAAGAATCAAATAATAATGTAAACAAAGGAGGCAACAATGATCATTGAATTGTCTTAAAGTTGGGCTTTGAATGGACTTTCTTCTGATACCTCTGGGAGGTGCAGTGGGGCTCCACGGATGGTATGTGCCCCTTCTCTCCCAGTGCGGGGACCAGTAAGTAAAGCTCCTGAGAATCTCAGGAAGGCCTATACCAATCTTTCATGGGGGTGGGGGGGTGTTTCTGCCTCCACAGGTGAAAGTGATGCGCAGTTTGGATCACCCCAATGTGCTGAAGTTCATTGGTGTACTGTACAAGGACAAGAAGCTGAACCTTCTCACGGAGTACATTGAAGGGGGGACTCTAAAGGACTTCCTCCGCAATGCGGTGAGTAAATGCCTCCTGGAGCATGTATGGGCATCCTGATGGCTCTCTGGCCAGTGTGAAACAGATGCTCTGGCTACACAACACTGTCTTTCTGCTGCTGAGTGTCCACAAGGAGCCCAAAGAGCTGGATTATCATCTCTCCTTTGAAGCTGGTTCCTCCAGGTGAAGGGAAGCGTCCCCTGCTTTTGCCCATGCTGTAGCTGGCCTGTGGATAGAGCATTGTGCTCTCCAGGACTATATCATCTTTCTCCAATTCTAGCAGGAGGTGGCTGGCTAGTGAGATGAGACCTGATCACTCAGGAGTTGTCATTGTTTTGCAGGACCCTTTTCCTTGGCAGCAGAAGGTCAGCTTTGCCAAAGGAGTTGCTTCAGGAATGGTGAGTCAATCTTCTGTTGAGACTGCTCCTCCGGGATTCTGGGTTGAAGCATGGCGGGCTGATGTAATAGTATGTTCTATAATGGCCTGCAGAAGCTACGTGGTAGTTAGGGAAATACTGAGTGCTTATCCCAATGTTTTGAGGGGGTTAACTCCAAAGGATGTATTCACGAGACTTGCTCTAACGCTGCTTTCTGTCCCTCTGTTTCAGGCCTATTTGCACTCCATGTGTATCATCCACAGAGACCTGAATTCGCATAACTGTCTGATCAAATTGGTGAGCTCTGGAATATGGTCCTTCCTTTCTTTTCTCCTCTCCTCCCTTTACTTTACTTTTCTCCATGTAATGTTAGCTTCCATGGACACACTAGGCCTTCTGGTTACTCTCCCTGGCAGCGTGGAGACGACCCCTTCTTGTAAGCCTTCTAGCATGTATCCAGTTTTCATTTCAATGTCCCCATAAATGAAAGTTCCACAGCCTAATTTTTTACTTTCACCCCATTAATCCTGGTCACATCCTTGAGTCCTCTCCCATTTTTAAACCCTTTATACTCTGTTGTAGCCTCTTCCCCACTAGTTGTTGCCGAATTGAGCTATATACTTGGCTCTCCTAACCTTTGTCCATAAATTGCACCCACTGTCCCTTTTTGTTTCTTCTCTGATCATTCATTTTGTGTCTCTCCCTCTCTCTCTCTTTTAATATGCTATGAGATCTCAGCTGTGGGCTTCATTCCCTCAGCCCTGACTCTCAATGTCCCCTTAGTCTGAATAACGCGTCTACCTCTGGGCTGCAAACCCCAAGGTCAAATCTGAGCAGAGAGTTTGCTAGGAAAGACTTCTGGGTAGAATTAGATAAGCTGGATAGAGCCAAATGCATTATAGCAACTGTAAGAAAGTAAATGGAGTTAAAACTCCTCCTTCACTGCATGAGGACTCATAGGGTGAGTAAGGAGAGAAGACAGCCCATCTGGTCTTGTCTCCCTCTACCTCTTCCCCCTACTCCCTGGGAGACTGCTGGGCTCCCATGTTCGCTGCATTCTTCTAGCTAGCTGTAGGAGGCTTCCTTATTGCCTGCCTGCACAGCTGCTGCTATTGTTACATTGAATGTGCAGTTTATAAGTGACAGGAAATATAGCCACTCTGTGCTAATGAGTTACCTCTGGGAGGAGCTGAGGGGGAATCAGTTGTTTGTGATTAAATCCCTTGGCTAGGATAACACTGTGGTGGTTGCCGATTTTGGACTGTCTCGGCTGATTGTGGAAGAGAGAAAGAAACCCACCCTGGAAAAGCCATCTGTCAAGAAGCGAACTCTACGCAAGAGCGATAGGAAGAAGCGCTATACTGTGGTCGGGAACCCGTACTGGATGGCGCCCGAGATGTTAAATGGTAAGATGCTCATAGTGTGGCAGGTGAGGAGCCACCTCAGGGCACAGATGATGGAAACTCTGGCCGTTGGCAGCAATCAAATCTATTAGCTGCCTAAGGCTTTAGACCTTCTAATACACGAGCTTCTTTCTTGTCAACAAATCTGGTGGACGTGCTTTCCCTTGCACATCACCCCTGCTAAATTTCCCTGTGGCCAGTAACGTAAGCAGCAAGAAATGGGGAGCCCATTCCCGGGAGTGGCCAAGACTCTTTGGGAGGGGTAATGGGCCTATACTTGATATCATCCAGATGTTGGAGGCAACAAAACGAGGCTTGAAACAATGCGACTGGCTTTGAAATTAACTTGATTCTTATGTCTCTAACGTCCTTAGGGATGCAGTGAATGGGCTGTGCTTCATAGAAATGAAGTACAATAGAACTGTGGGGCAAACTTGTAATGTTGAGTGTTGGACAGACTAGAGGGGAATCCGGCTGTTGCATGGTTCCCCCCACCCTCGGAGTGGGGAGGGCAGTGGCTATATGTCTTGAGGGGCAGATCTTCCCTGGCACTGGGTTAAGGGCAAACACATGTCCCCAATGGGACCTGCTGCCTGTGTTAGACCCGAGTGAGGGGAGAATGCAAACTCAACTGCTTCTGGTGAATTGGGCCTCCATGTGACCAGGGCATGGCTGCAAGGCAAACACATGAACAACTAGAACTGCCACTAAATCCTCCAGGAAGAGCAAACAGGGTCATGGTTGCAGTATAATGTATTGCCCAGCTGACTTCAACATCAGGCTGTTCTTAGGAATCTCTTGGGAAAGGGAAGACTCTGATTTTATGGTCTCCCCATCCTCACCCCTATCCTGCTGCTCTCTGCTACCACTTTCGATGCTACCTTCATCTTCCTTTGAGCTCTGTGCTGTCGGGCCCTTCGGAGTCTGGCAAAGGGTTATCCTGCTTTTCCGAGGCATTAGAGTAGTGTTGCAGGAATGTTAACGTATAGCATGCCTGGCACCTGCCAAGAGAACTGCCAGCTGTGCCCCCACGATAGTCTGCTCTGACGTCATATCCTGGGGTACCAGGGCTCTTCCCAGATCCAGCACTCACTTGGCCCTGCTACAATTCCATTCCTGGCTGTGGAGGGAGGCCTCTATCTCTGCCTAGCAAGACCAGCCCTGTGGATCCTGTCTCCTCACAGAGGCCTGCTTTCCCTGTCTCAGCCCTTCGCTGTCTGATATTGTTAGCACTTAATTTATTACCTCTGCAGTCACTGCAGCAGAAACTGGGCATCCAGCTTCCTGGGCAGCCAGCACTGGCTTAGTGTACCATGGAAATGCATTGAAAGGACTATCAGTGTGAATGGCAAAGGCTCTCTGGATTTGACATCAGCAGTCACTTGAACCCTGGGGACCCGTTTAGGACTCTGCAATAGAACCCTTTCTCCTCCCTTGAGCACCCTTTTTCTTCTCTTGAAACTGGGCTGTATTATAGGCCTTATGGAAATGGTGTGTGTGTGTGTGTGTGTGTGTGTGTGTATGTAATGGCCGTGAAAGAGAGCTGATTTTGATGATGGACATTTTTTGTCTAGCCACAGACTGAATACAGCAGTGGCAGTTTCCACCCCTGCCTCTCCACTGTGCTGCTTGTTCTCTGAACTAACCTCCTTCTAAGCAGTCCTTCAGCTCCATGGCCCATTCCCTTCTCTGCAATCTGTGGATAATGCCAGTTATGGTGGAGGCTCCTGTGATAACTGAAGCCAACAAACTGTTGTTGGATGGTGTCTACTCTAGGTCATTATCCAGCTAAGATACTATCCCCATTTCCCAGGCTCTGGCAGGAATATGGTTGGTGCACAAACTTCCTTGTGGTGGTCTGTCAAGAAAAGTTGCCCTGGAAACTTTACAGCTTTATTCTGCTGCCTGGAATCCTGTTTGTGCCTCACTCTTGCAGTAACATGCTTCCATTACTGCAGTGGGGAATACACCTGACCTTTCCAGGCTGCGTCCAGTAAGTTTGGAGCCAGCAAGTGAATTTATTCACTGCTACTTTAAGCCAGCACCACAACAGTTAGTTAATCAGAAATGCTCAACAAAGGCTGGTGGTGCGAAAACCAGAGAGCTCTGCCCTCACTGAGCAATCCCTTCAGAAACGTGGAATGCGAGAGGGCTGTTGGCTACTCCAGCCTGTACCTGCATGATAAAGAACAGCTAAGGTGGGCATTGAACATAAGACATAATTGGTTTTTATTCCACTCATTTCCTTGCAAAATAGCCATGGGGGGGAGCAGCCACCGGGCTCTGAAACTAGATGCAGCTGCTCTAGGTGTACATGCTAATTGCTACTTTGCCATGCTAGAAACCCTCTTGCTCCCCCACATCAGTGACTAACCCCAGCTCTGCCTGGGAAACAAATCTAACCTTGTAAAATGGTCATGAGTGCAGGCAGGGACACCTCTTCCCCCACCCTTACCACGATGCTGCCGAGAAAAAAGTCACATTTTACTTGGCTGAGCACGACTGTGCTTGACTCCACTTCGGAGCACTCACTGGCCCGCTAGGCTGCCTGGGCCTGGATTGTGAATCTTTCCTGGTGCTGGCTTAGAGGCTGCTGCACAATGGGATGCTATTCGGCCTGACTGCACTAGGAACACCCCTAGTTCACAAAGTCGCCTGTCTTGTATTTCCTGCAGGGCAGAGTTATGACGAGACTGTGGACATCTTCTCGTTTGGGATTGTTCTCTGTGAGGTAAGTCCAGGCCACACTGGGGTGTCTAGGGGTCTGAGCAAGAGGGCTTCCAAACATCACCGAGGTCCTGTCCTACCTCTTCCTCTCCATACACAACAGAAGGCAGCTCTGTGTAGCTGAGTCTGGAGTTCCTGACTCAAATGTACTGTGGCTAGGACTAGTCTGGAGAGTTGCACCTTGCATGCCCATCTCACTCCCCTGAGTGTGGGGGTGGGAGGGAAGAGGGCACTTACTGCTCTGTTGGTGCAGTTCCCGCCTTAAACTTAGAACTGGTGCTGGGAAAGAGACAATCTGTCTCTAGCGCAAAAATCTTGGGATTTAGGTGGCATCTTCCAGCAACATGGAAGCTTAGAGCTGAGATTCCTTCTCCCTCCTCCTGAACCCTGGGTCTTCAGCCTATAATTAGCCATGGTAATTCAGGGCCTTTGTAAGGTTGAGATTTGACACTAGAGAGGTGGTCAAAATCTGTCTGAAGGTGAAAAGTGGGGCTTAATTCGCTGATCCTGCTTCTAGAAGGAATATGTCTGATCTGGCTGCACAGCGACTTCTCTGCCCCACGCCTGCTGTGTGTAGAAAATAGGCCATCTCTTTTCTTCATGATATGAATGTCTGATACAAATCCGAGAACCAATATCCTGTGTGCCTAAAACTTCTCCCCACCTCCTTCCCTTGCATCACCAGCCAGATGTGCGTTACATACAGATTGTTCCCAAAGGAAAGCACAGCCTTTTAAAGTACCCAATGTGTATAGAAGTGAGAGCAATCGGGGGTGGCAGGGAGACCCGAATTGGAGTTTTCCTCTTAATGCCTGGATGGAGAATATGGAAAAAATGTCTCATGCATGAATGGTACGGCCTCATCTAGAATACTGTGCTGGTAACCAATGTTCCCTCTAATTTTTTCCATCCAAGTGCAGAATTAATTTTATGTGCACCAATATCGAGGTGATATGCACCACAAGTAGAAACAAAAAACCTAGGTATGATAGATATTTATTTGTTAAAAGTTACCATTGGGATAATTACTCCAGCCAGGACAGGTTAGGTATTTTAGAACTCACTACTCAATTAAATTTAAGCCTGAGAGAGAAATAAAATTATGAAATGCATAGACCAGTCAAAAAACTAAAATAACAGCACTTTGAAAGAATAAAGTTACAGAGAACTTATATGTGCATTGCAGGAAGTACCAAGAAATAACACAAGTATGTGTTGGGATGTGTCAGAGACAGTGCGGGTGTGCTGGCTGCTGGGGAAGTCTGAGACACTGTGCTCTGTCTCTTTAAGGCGCTCACCAGAAGGCTCAGACCACAGCAGCTGAGCTCTCCTGCTCCTGAGACAAGTCCCTCCTCCCCTGCTCTGCAGAGATGGGGTACATGGGCTGGAAGGAGGGGGACACCCTGACATCAGTGCTTCCCTATGCCCTCCCATCCGCTCTGCACAGCAAGCAGGAGGATCCCAAGAGCAGCTGGCCAGGGGCTTCAAGAGAGAGGGCAGGAGCAATGTGGCTGCAGAGCAATGCGGGGAGGGGCACCTGAACACACTGCTGTGTGTGCATGGCACTTGATTCGCTCCTGGGTGGCCGTGCGACTGTGCAGCTTAGAGGGAACACAGCTGGTAACCCATCTTCAAGGTTAGTGCAAATTTGCAGGTGGGGTTCAGAGAACAGTAGCAAGAATGAGTAGGGGCCTAGAAATTCTTATAAAGAGGGATTGAAAAGAGTTGGTTTGTTTACCTTACAAAGGAGACACATAAGAGGAAACATGATAGATAGAATATATATGAGAGAGAGGTTCTCTTCCTCCCATCTCATAACTAACACAAACACACACACACATACAATGAAATTGAAAGTTAGAAAACTCAGAAGTGATAAAAATAATTTTCTATAAAATGCACGATTAGACTGTGGAACTACTTGCCACATGATGTGGTTGTGGTCAACAACTTGGTAATATTCAAAGCGGGACTGTATTTATATGGGTAACAAGAACATCCAGTTAGCATAAAGTATTGTAACAGAGTATTGGAAGAGAAATAAAACCTCATATTTCAGGTCTTAAATCAATCTAGGTGTTGGGGATTAGGCTGAGACCTTTGTGGGGGGCAGATTATCACACATCTGCCTGTTCTGGGGTTTGTTGCACATTTCTCTGAACCATCTGTTGGCCACTGTCAGAGATGGGATTCTAGACCCTATTGTCCACAGGTGTGACCCAGTCAGGCAATTACAGTCCCAGGCTTTGATTGGTGGCCTTCTGTATCCAAGGTGACTGGTAGAATTCAGTGCAAAATGTGTTCAGTGTTAGAGGCAGAGAACCTAAGTAGTGTCCTGTGTATTCTACAGTCTTCTTCCCCATTTCTTTCCTCTGCTTGGGTTTCCCTTCTGAGATTTTTGATTGGTCCTCATAATAATGTGTTTGATGCACCATTTCTTTCCCTCCCTCCTTTGTCACCCTCCTGTTGCTCCTGCAATGTACTTGCCTTCCCCCAGCTCCCTGGCATGTGAGCTGTGTTGGGGGAGGAGGGTTTTGATAGCATAATGACATCATGGAGGGCTGTGTGCATGCTATAAGATGTTAATACCCTGGGAGCAGAGGAATTGCTTCCTACTTCAGTGCATGGACTGATAGTGGCTAGGACACTGCACAGTCTGCACTGAAAGCTAAGGTTGTATTGTACCCCTTGCAGCAATACCCTAGGGAGGCAGGAATTGACCTTGGGCTTGGTTTTCCTCTGCCATAGCAGGGAGAGACTTCTAGGGTCAGCCCCTGTACTGCCTGTGAGGTTTGCCTGTATTAAATGGTGTTGCCTTGATCCTCCTTCATGCAACAAGCCCTTCTGTAGCTGGGGACTGGTCCAATTCTAGCTCTGCTCCCCCTGCCCTGTAATCAGACACGAATTGTAATGTTTCCAGTGAGCCAGCCTAGCTCTAGAGACTGAGCAACCCCCACCGGCTAGCCCTCAGCTGCTGTCCCTGCTGCTACAGTTGCTGTTCCTGAGCAGTTCTTTCCCCTCTAGATCATCGGGCAGGTGTATGCTGACCCTGACTGCCTCCCTCGCACACTGGATTTTGGCCTCAATGTAAAGCTGTTCTGGGAGAAGTTTGTTCCTGCCGATTGCCCTCCAGCCTTCTTCCCTCTGGCTGCCATTTGCTGCAGGCTGGAACCAGAGAGCAGGTAAGGGGTGTGAAATGCCGGCTAACCCCTAATCTCTGGTTCTCTTCTGTGTCCAGTTTGTATCTTTGCTTCTCTCGGGCTGGAGAATGCCCTCTCCTTCTGCCCCCACTGGGAAGGTGTTGCTCTGCAGAGTGGGTCAGACTGGGATGGCAGGTATGCGCTAATATCCAGGGCACTTCGGTTGCTGTGTCCTCACTTCATGGAGGAGTTTTTTGCTGCTGTCTTCCTTTCCCCATCACTGTCCCAGGAGCTAGTCCGCTGCTGTCCTATTGACCCTGTCTTATCACTTCTTTCTAGGCCCCCATTTTCAAAGCTGGAGGATTCCTTTGAAGCCCTTTCTCTCTACCTGGGAGAACTGGGCATCCCCCTCCCTTCCGAGCTGGAGGAGCTGGACCACAATGTGAGCATTCAGTATGGGCTGAGCCGTGACAAGCTACCTGAAAACACAACCTAGGCGGCCCATCCTGTGATCTGTGCTACTTTTCATTGGATCCTATACGAGTGGTGTGGAGGGGAGATGTACTTCGGCCACCTGCAGGGCATTCAGAGGGCACCAACTGCATACTTGGTGCATCACCTCTCCCTCCCCCATGAAACTAAACCGCCATGTCTGTTTGATCTCCTGGTTTCACTGTGGATTTATGGCACATTTTGCAAGTGAAAAGGGCTATTTCCTGCCTGCTGCACCAAGGAGAGCTGCTCAACACAACACAATTCTTTGGGGCCTGTCTGGCTTTGTATCACTGTGGTGCCTTAGAACTTGACATGTGACTGTAAGCTGTGAAATAGTCCTGGCCTATCTGCCAGGAAGGGAATCACTATAGGAAGTCTCCTTTGTTAGGAACTGCTTTTCTGGAATCACTTGTCCCAGACTTTTAGTGACTGTGCTCTCCTTGGAAGACCTGGAATACACTAGAACTAGGAAAACCAGGCACCTGGCAAAGGGCTTAGTCAGGGACTCCATTGCTTTTCTACATGTCAGGGTGGGAGTTCCCGAGCTGCCTAGGGATTAGGAGAAGCTCTAGGAATTGAGGGGAGCTTGAACGAAATGGTTGTGGTATCATGTCTGTGGGTAGAATTTGTCTCAGTTAGTGTAGTTCACCCTCCAAGGCCCTGTTCAGAAACACTACAGCCAGTGAAAACTGGGCTTTGCTCACCCTCCTGATGTGAATGAGGCTGTGCTCTGAGTCCAGAGGGTAAGAAGGGGGAGACTGAGTGGTTCTCAGGTATGCTTTTAACTCTACCAACACCTTCAGCTACTGACTCCACACAACCAGTCCCCCAGGCTGGGACCTCAGAGCAGGCAAAAGGACACAAGTCTGAATGCCCAGAACTGCAGCAGCACTCTGATCCTGATGTGCTGTATAAATGGGAGACTTGTCCCCAAAGAGCTTGTGCCTGTTTCTGGGCATTTGGCCTGGTGCAGTGAGATACATGCCTCATAATGGTGGCAGAATATACCTGGTGGAGAGCTGAATAGCTCTATGCTGAGGCATTTGGCTTGGACTAGGTGAGTGTTTGACATGGATAACCCTCATGAGCAGAAGGAATTTGAGGGCATGCTGAAAAGGTTACTCAAGGACAGATGCTAGTGAATTGGAGTCTCATGTCTTCCGTCCTCTCCGTGTACTAGTTGGAGGATTCGTAATTCAGTAGCTATTACTGCCCTTCTCCAGCAAGACCTGCAGTGGAGGGGAGTCCCATAAGTGTGTCTGCCACTCAGTTATCTGTTCTGGAGCCCCTGACACAGAACTTGGTCTCATTCTCCAAACAGAATCCTTCTCCAGAGACATGCCATGCATGGAGGGAAGAGAGCCTGGGGAGGGAAGGAGGCAGCATATTCACTGAGGCTTTGAACTGGGGCATTAGAGGGAAATGTAGGAGGAAGGAAACCGCTTCCCCAGTAATATGTGGCTGGTGCTACCTAGTAAAAGGCTGGCTGCTGAGTCCACTTGAGTTCCATGCCCTCTTGGTAAAACTGGATTCAGTCTCTGCTCTCCTTTGCAACCCCATAATCTACTAGTGAGGAATGTGTGTTAATGTTTGTTCCTCTATTCCCTAAGGCGTTGGGAATATGTGAAAACCTGGCCATAGAAATTACATGGGATCAGCCCTCATGTCTGTCTTAAGTTGGTTGTGTTTAATTTGTATGGTGGTGGTTTTAGAAACAGGAAAGTCCTGTGCTGTGAGCCAGTGGGGGAGTTGTCAATTGGGTCCGGTGGATTCAGGCATTCTGATTGTTACAGGACTTTCTTCCTACTACTTAGTAGGATGGGGAAACTCAAGGGAGGGCGTCCTGGGTGATGTGTGGGTGGGGAGACTTAACTCCATGTGATTGCACAGCACAATGTTTGTTGACTAAATTAAAAGCAATAAATATACCCTAGGGACATAAGGCTGTTTGTCTGCTTTTGGAGCTTATAAAGAACATGAGGCTGCCATACAATGGGACCCCTCACTCAGCTGTTGCAGGACTGCAGCAGTGCATCACCAGGGACATCCGACTGGTAGCTGCAGACTGACTTGACTGAGCAAGGGCTTTGTAGAAGGTTAGGCTCTGATGCCTGACCTATGTGCAAATCCTCTACAGAACTGCCTTTAGCTAGGGTAATGGAACAGGTGGCAGTGACAGTAGCTACTGTCAGGCCTAGACTTAAAAATAAAAAGCATTTGTCATTGCCAGTTTTGAAATCACTGAACTCTAGCTGTGCTACCTGCTCTTAATCCATGCCAGCCAGTGTAACCTCCTGCTTGTGTTTACGCCAGCCTTTCCAAAGCAAGAGCCAGAGGACCTGAGCTGCCTCTGAGCAGGAAGTAAAACAGAATCCACTTGCATCAGAGCAGAAAAGGAATAATTAGATCCTCTCTCCACAGGCCCAGCCTGCTTAGTCACAGTAGCTTGTTCTGGGCTAGTGAATAGACAGCTGCTTTTTTAAGAATGCTCTGCTCCATTCTAATGCTGGACTTTGCCAGTCTGTCTACAGAGTCAACATCCCATGGTGTTAGCTCTAGGTGAAGGCATGTTCTTCTCTGAAGTGCGGAGGTGATTGTGGTTGTCTCTCTCTCTCTTATGCAGGCTGGGGTTGTAGCTCTCAATAGAGCAAAGGGTGAACTACAATGGCCTTAATTATTCTTTCCTCTCACTGCTTTGCAGTTTGGGGTAGGGGGCCTTGCCTGGGTTTGAATAATGCTGTTAGCCTGCTCGTGCAGCTACATGCCCTGAAGGAGCTGAAACGTGTTCAGAAAGGCATGCTGAGCTGGTCCCATTTCCTAGGTGTGAGCTGCTACTTCAATTGAAGCCCACACAGGTTTCCAGAGAACCTTTTTATTTTCCTTTTTAAGCTTTAATACAAGGTAGCATGATCTGCATCTTTATTTTATGAGGTATTTAAAATATTTACAAAGAAATGGTATTCAAAGGCTTTTAAAAAACCATTTTTCCTTTTCTGAACCATATAACCATCAACACTTAATCTCTGCTCAGTAAGTCCCCCTTAAAGTAGATGGGTAGAAAACCTTATTTGGATGGCTTGAACCCTGCTGCAGAGATGAGGATGTGCATTTCTCTGAATTAGTCCTACACAGATTATAAACCACCCCACTCTGAGAAACAAGTGCTTCTTGCTCATACATGTGCCCTAAAATCTTTATCTAAATGGGCCAGTTTGGATAAGCAGCCCCTGCAGTGTGACCTCTCCTGGAGCCTGCACAAGGGACACAGAACAGCATGCACAAGGCCTTGATGTGCCTGCAATAGGGCAGCTGTCTTGTCTTTCCAGTTGCATTCACCCTAGGACTGGCTTAAACTCTTGTTTGCTGGAAATACACCTCCCTGGGGAAAGTCTGAAAGGAATTCAGAAATGGCTACTATCCCTTTAAGCAGCAAAGAGTACTTGGCCACTCTCCCTGAAGCTGATTGAGGGGTTGTCTACCTTCCCTCCACTTTTGAAATACTTCTGCTCCTCTCCTGCCCTAGGAGACAGCCCAGGCTCCTGTTGTACCAGCCCAGGAGAGTGGGAATGTGTCCTGGGCACTGGAAGACTTTGCTTTATGAGCATCTTGAGAGAGATCTCTTAAGCAATGCATTGGCGCTAACTATCTCCCTCCCCGTTAACCAAAACCTTCTGTCTCCCAGCTGAAACCGAGCTCGGCCGTTGACTCTTCCCCTTCTCTAAAAGAAATTTGCACAGGACAGCTTTTCTCCTATTAAAGTAAAATGTAAAACTACATTCATAGTCTACATAACCCTGCTGTAAAGCTCCCACCTGTCTCTGATACTGCTGTGTCAGATTACAGGCTGAAATGCATGTAACACTCGTCAAAAGGGAAGGGAACAGAACAAGAGGATGTTGAGAGTTCCCATTCTTAAGTATGGGAGGTGGGGCCACAGTGGCACATTGCTAGCTTGGGAAACCACTCCCCCTCCCCTGCTGTAGTAATCCCTGGAGATGAAAGGGATTGCACCAGTCCCCAGGAGAAACAAGTCCTGCTAGCCCCACAATGAACAGCCCCATTTCAGTGCATCTCCAAGTCCTGTCATTTGCTGGAATTCATCAACAAAAAAATACAAATGAACCCCCCACTCCCAAAACGAGACTGGGGTCTTCGCCTCCATCATTTCACCCTGTGCCTCTCCTGCCCCTCGCTGCTCAGGCACCAGGAGTACCTGCCTGGCCCATGAGAGGTGCATTGCCATCGTGTGCCTCCTCCACGGGGGTCCGGTTGGTGTGCACCTCTATTGTGTTCTCATCCACAAGCTCACAGGCCTGGTTCGTGAAGGCAGAAAGTGGAAGGGTGATGCGCTGCATTTCCCGCTCATAAACCTTCTGCTCGTGCTGCTCCTTCAAGTCTTTGGTCCTAGAAAGAAAACCAGAACAGATGCTCTGAGTGCTGACTGCAGTAAGGTCAGTCCCTGCAAGTGGGCACTGGCCCAAAGGAGCTGCAGCAGAAGGGAAGAGGCTACTGCTCCAACAAAAGACCAGCCCCTCAACATGAATGTGAGATGCTGGGTTTTTCCCCAAACTTCCAACTACAGTGGTGAAAGCACCCAGGCAAACAGAGCCAGGTGGGGTGTTGGGGGAGGTTTGTATTCATCCAGTAATACAATATCATGGAGGAATCAGGGAGGTTAAAGCCAGTCCGCTCCCACCTGTCACTGGACTCAAGGCCCCGACAGTAGCTATGGAAACAACATGTGGCAGCTATCTGGATTTTAGTTTATGGCTCTGTCTTGAGTCCCTGTAACATGCAGGACTGCTGAGTCAAAGCAGGAGCTACCAATGTTTAGAGAAGCCATTAACTGTGAATGGTAGGAAAGGATGCAAGAGCTCTGGGTGGTGGCTGGCACTTGCACAGGTGAGGCGGGATAAACACACACTTTAGGCAACAAGTATCTTCCAGAAAGCAAACTGAGTTAATGGCTCTGCTCAGAGTAGGTGTGTAATGATCTTACGTGCCTGCTGTGTTCCAAAGAGACTTGCTTCTCCAAACTACCTGACCCCTCACATGACAGCAAGGAAGGTGACACGTCTTCAGTGTCTGGTGCCAAGAAGTGGCTTTTTTTTTAAATGAGTGACAGTTATTGAACTCTATAGCGAAGGTAATTAATGAGAAACCAACCAGTTTTGTTTTTTATTTTTAAGACAAGTGCCACATGCAAAATTTAACTTTAACTGGGAAGCCAATTCACCTGAACATGGCTAGCTGAAAAGGGAAAAAACTGAAGCATCCAGTGCTGACCCTGCCTGAAGCTTGAACTTGGGCTATTTTGAATTAAGGGAGGGGCTACTAAGAGTCAAGCCTCCCCAAAATCCAAATCTGCTCACAGCAAAGACAGTCCTGGCAGAGCCAGGCCCCAATTCAATGGAAGTCTGGTGGATCAGAAATTACATTTCAGACTATACTCTGCTTGAGCCCTGGAGTAGCCAGCTCCCACTCAAGGGGCTAGAACAGCTTCCAGGGTTTATTGCCAGACAGTTCTAGTGCAGTCTAACATTCTTTCTTCCCTCCACCCCCTGCCAGTCGTATCTATCTACCTTCACTAGAACGTGAATCATGCTCATTAGCAAGTGCTAGATTCGTGCTCTAACCTTATGTAACACTGTTGGAGTCTCTGCTGTCCAAGCTTGCTGATACATCTTATGTAAGGACTTGGCTCAGCCTGGGAGGGACTCATTCTGCTTCACTAGGAGAGGTTGGCAGCTAGCTACAAGAGTTAAGCCCTAAAGCAGGGATGTGATAATCGCTCTGTGGCTGTCTGTCTGGAATGCTATAGACAAACTGCAGGCCCGATCAGCCGGTCAGGTGCACATGTAACTCTGACTGAACTGAAGGGGAGTTGAGTATGTGCAGCTGTCAGGCTAACTGGGCCATGCAATTCAAAGGACACATTTAGGAAAGGGAAAGAATTATGATTCTACCCTGTTTTCACTCAAATAGATGAAGGCATAAACACGAAAGGGAGAGATGGCTTAGACTGCCATGAGTAGGAAGGGGAAGAGTGGGCTCAGCCCGGGGAAGACACCGAACAAAGGGCAGGTTACTGTGGTTTGGGTGTTTGTTTTTAAATACAGCTGTTATTACGGTCTCACTGTGTTAGGGCCTAATCCTATGAGGTACTTAACTCCCACTGATTTAACAGAGTAGCCAGTGCTTATGACTCGCAGATGTGCTGGCAGGTCCATATTGGGGAATCATAGGCAGATTGGCCAGTGTGTCTACATAACTGCAGCCCTGCCAAGGGCCTCTGACTTGCAATAATGGAATGAAATTCCAGAGCTTAATAAATCTTGTTTCTGAAAAGTTTCACAGAGCAAGTGGTGAAAGCTCCGTCAATCAAGACATAAAAAAACTATATGGTGCAGTATCCTGGAGGCTATACTTCAAGGGGAGTGGGCTCCTCCACTGGCCCTGGGGGAGGGAGGGTTATTATGGGACCTAATACCTCTGTGTTTAAATGAGTTCCATCGAGGCTATGACAAGACCAGATCTCACAGCAGCACCACCAATGTATAAGAGCCTACCCTTCTCAGAGTCCTGCATGAACTGGGACTTAGGTGTTATCTATAGTAGCTCAGAATTTCCTGACTTTTATAGGCCTGTATCACAGCCACAATGCAAACTCTTGATCCAGAGACTACTTACCTTTTGTAGATGTAGCCCACAACAATGCCAGCTCCAATGGCAATGATTATCACCATCATGATGAAGGCCATCACATAGCCTGTGGAGAAGAAGCAGAAGCAACAAAGTTAGGAACAATGCAGCACCTCAGCCTCTATGTACAGCAGTGGCTTTAGGGTTCAGAAAAGAAACATCCTGTTGTAGTCCCACTGAGGAATCTAGAGAGTGTTCCTGGA